TTTTTTTATTTTTAAATATATAAAAAAAAAAAAAAAAAAAAAAAAAAAGGATGGAACGAGAATTTCAATTGAAAACTAATTTTCTTCTCGCTCGTGTACCAGCTACGTCGCATTCGTTGCGTTATCAAAGTAAATTACGTAAAAGTAAAACAGGTGATCGCGGGCATCGAACAGTCTGGCCTATGGGACTTTAAATTGTCGGACGTGGAACGGATCGTTGATCCAACAAGTCATCCGTGACGCTTCGACTGTGTCCATTGTTTTACGTTCGCGCTCGCTGCACATCGGCGGATAAAGCTGCCTTTTCCATTGGCTGGATCGTAGAAAAAGCAACTAATTCGAATCTGCCGCCAAGAAATAAGCCCGATAGCAATCCATAGTCCATAGTAGTACGCTTTCGTTTCGATTTATGAAACGGTATAACAGTATTTGGTTTACGCGATACAGCAACTTTCGTGGCTTCGATTAAATCCGTAACGATGTCAAAGTTTCATCATGTTCGTCGTATGTTTCAAAACTCATATTCGCAAGGTTCTTTCGAAAATAAGAGCGAAAAGTCCGGCGAAAATAAAAGCAATCAACTATTGTACATATCGTCATTTTGAAATTCTCCGTTTCGTCGATGAAATATTTTCTCTCTATAGTTTGACGAATGTATTTTTCTGATTCTTACAGATGGGTAACGCTCGTGTTTTAATTCTGTTCATCTTGTCGCTGACCGTAATGACGGTTACGTGTCAGTCGTACCACTTCAGTATTCCTGACTGGACAAATGAAAAAACATCAATATTTAAGGAAATAGTAAATGCGATCAACAAGTATATAAGCCAATCGAATAACGTCCTTGCTAATTGCGAGCTACAGAAGCTGAAATTGCTGCTTCAAGGAAATATTAACTACCAAGTAAGCGATGTCGGAAAGGAAGAAAAATCGAGCATTGTTTAGCAACGAAATTACGAAAGTGAAATATTAAAACCGTGATATATTCTTGTATTTGGATAAATTTGTTGCAAATGAATATTTCTATATTTATCGCACTAGCATGAGTTTCTTAATGAACTATTTTGTATCATTAACGAAAATCTGAATTCCTTACAGCTGTTTCAGGTACCTTGCGATCTGCTTGTTTCTGGAAAAAAGAGCTTCTCTGAAAATACAATCACCGATTATTTCCATCGACAGCCTACTCCAGTTAATAACAATTACTAATTATCAATGTTATTCTTGTCGTCGTAACAGATTTTAATTAATTCCGGATTATACGTATTATCGAATAAAGAGCGACTCTAACCGAGACCTTGCGATCGCCTCTTTAATTACCTCTACCCTAATCCTTTAATTTTCTTCCTTTCGAGAAACGTAAAGGCGCGATCCACGCGTGACTTACGATCCTCGAAGGCGAGGACCGAAATAATCGCAAATAATTCGTTTGCTCGATCTGAATTGCACTCGGATAAATCGTAAATAGAAATTAAGAAAAATACAAATAGAGAAAGTAGAAAAGATTAAATAACAGTCTATCGCTTTAACGTGTTTGTAATTTGGCCTGCTGTGACTAACATTAAGGGTATGCTGTATTTCTGGAAACGGAACAAAATCGTGTTTTGTCTCAATACGCGATAATAAATGGAACAAACGTCAAATCGCAAAGGATACATATTTATTTTTTTAACCAACCTGACTAACACGATCAAAAACTCGAAATGGAAACCAACCGATACCCCGCTCATTTCCAGGATGCGCTTCTAAAACGTCTTACTTTTTATCCTGTTTTATCTTGCCGAATTCTAAATTTGATTTGGTTTCGTTTCAAAGTGCGAAAAGAACGACGACGGTGTTTGTGGAATCGAGTGTCGCTGAACTTTTCGCGCGTGACGCGCTTTTTCTTGCCTCGTCCGTGCTATCGCTTCGGTACAACTTGTCTTCCGACGATTTTCATTCGTATCTATTTCCGCTGGTTCGATTACAGCCGGTTCCTATCGTCGATCGGCATCAATTATTCAATCCCGTGTATAGTTCGCCTCCGCGCTGATATACGGCTCGATTTAAAGCGTAATCGTTCATCAATCATGGTTAACGGGCAAATTGTTTTTATTGGACCGCCAGCATATCTGGATTTGTATTAATTATCGAGTTCTCCTCGCGGGCATCCGCGGCGCATCCAGTTTTCATCGGGCCCATCCGATCGGTTAATTAAGTTTTCGCTGTCCTAATTGGACAGACGGTCAATAGGATAGATCGCGGTGGCCTGGTACTGCACGCCGTAGGGGATTTTGTCTGTCAACGGAAGATGGAGTGAAACCCTGGCGAATAGAGACACCTGCTGAGTCCATGGATTATCCCTATGGACAACTTATCTCCAACTGCAATTCACCGCCTGAATTTGGAGACTTTCTATTTTCGCTATACACCGAATACAAGATACCAAACATCGTCGCCAGGAACGAGGGGAATTACTGGCTTCGACATTACGACTGTCGAGTTCCACGATACAGGGGATCTTGTATTTTCGTTGAGCAATTAAGGCTGAATATTTATTTGACATAACAGATAATAAGATTTCTTCTTTCTCCCGTGAAACGAGAAACATATACACAAGGTGGTGTCTATGTAGAGAATTTTTCAAATAAATTTCAAATAAATATCATCTATCAAAATTTAGCTAGGCCGAAAATTTCGAATCGAAGATTTTTTGTTCCCGTCTTCCTCGAATCTGAAAATCAAAATCTATATTTCAATGAAAAATTGCGCAACCGTGAATATTCCGTTAATCTCTGTGTGTCCTTTGTCGCGAAATTGATTATGAGCGTATGGTTGTTTTCCGAAGCTGACCAGCCGACGAAAGAAAGAAATAATCGATGGCTCTGTGTCAATTATTTGGCCGATTGGCGTTAATCGAAAATTTCCCCGCTAATTTTCGTGGGCGAACACGAGCCAGCGGTGCAATTAATAAAATGCAAGGCTAATTATAAATGCAAGAATAATGGCGGTTCACGTGCGAGCGTTCACATTACAGACAGGAGAGCACTCACGGTTATTAGTTGATAGCGTCAGGACGCGTATAACTATCATGCACGGGCAATGCACTTAAAACTTGGCTGTTAATCAGAAACCAATTACGGGAGGCGGGTCGAAATGAGTTTAATCGCATTAAATATTAAAGCGTCGTCACCGTACCATGGGACTGGGTGTACCAGCAACCATAGGTGACCCTCTTCCTCCAACCAGTCATGGAGCAACCACACACCGCCACGTGCCCATGCGAAACGCTTTTCTCTCTTAATACCTCTGAGAATAACCGAAGAACCCTACGCCAATGTCCTTTATAGGGTGGTGCCTGGCGTGCCTGCAATACGCATGCACGGCCACTGTATTTCCTGATAATGCTCCTTTATACGGACGCGTGTGCGTGTATAAGTACGATTCCTTCCTACTTTCCGTCTTACCGTGTATCATTTCTCTAATTTTCACTTTCCTTAAAATTTATTCCCAATTAAATTCATTCAACGATCTATCCCAGGAAAAGAAAATCTTTTTCACACGGGAAGCTTTAATCGCTGACATTTTTACGATAAAACGTATAAAGGTGCGCTATGTGGATTAGCGCGTAAGATCAAAAAGAAAAGAAAAGATCGATAAATACGACGGACCTGCCGGAAACAGCGGTTCTAAATCCATCTCGTGATTTCAAAGGGTGAGGAGACCGATTAACCGCTCAGCCGTTGCCACCTCTTTGAAAAGCGTGTAGCTAAAATGCGACGAATATACTCGTCGAACGTAGAGTACGCGTGACCGTTGCAATACAGAGTTGAGTCGTAACGAATCGACTGCTTTATCTTTTCATTTTCTTGAGCCGACAGGGCTCATCGTGACACGAAACATCGCCATTTCTTCATGACGAGTATACTCGTCAAAAACAGCCAACTATTGAAAATCACCGAGTCGCTGTACGAACGTGAAAGAGTCCTCTGATAACACTTGCGTTCAGATTCTTGTTCCGCGTCTCGTGCATATTTCACATCGGCTTGTTTCGCAATGGATGGCAGCGCGCGGAAATCCGGCATGATATTTCAGCGGGCTATTGCGTCGCGTTAGGAATTTTAAACTCGTGCTTGACCCGCGCCACGGAAACGAATATCAGCTATAGAAAGCGGCGTGCTGTTGTAACAGTACGCGTATAAATACATAAAATCGGGGCAATCATCCTAAATGGGAGCGCCTTCTAGTGCGTGGTAGGTCGTCTTTTTCGAGCTGTCGTCTGTCGGCTGTCGTTTGTCGCCCGACAAGGGAGCCTTCGTGGTACCGAACACGAAAAAGCGCGAAACCACGCGGGGGAAAAAACCGTTTGACGAGCCCAATTCCATTCTGACGTCGTACTCGCTCGTTGCCTTTATTATTTTCACGTTGGATGTACGGTTTTTCTCGATCCTTCAGAGGTCGTGTTAACGGTTTACGTTTCAGACGGTCGAAAGATAAGTCGTTCGTGAGTGGTTGATTTTTCGATTCCTACGACAAAATTTAATCGCAGCTATTGTTTGTGGAGCGAGGGGAAGAAAAAAGGGACACGAGCGTTCTCGATTTTTTAACACACCGTCTGTGCTCGCTCTGTCCACGATGTCGACCGCAAACGATCGGAAATAAAGACAGCGACGAAAGTTGGCCACTTTTTATGGGCAGGAAACGAACACCGTTTAGGCACAGTGTTTTAGAAAATGCGTGCAACAGTTAATGACTACGAAAATTGATCGGATCTGGCGTGCAAGCCGGTTAATCGTTTTTGTAGTGGATAGAGACGATCCTGTCTCCCTCGTCTATGCTAAACGTTACGTACCTACGTGAACAGGTTGATAAAAAAGGAACAAGTTAATATCCTTCGCCAAAGGATGAAAATAAGCATGCTATGCCTACGTTATTAATCCTTAACGCTTTCGCCAATTAAACGACAGATTCGCGAACGAAGTGATAATACGATCTTCTTGTCGACAAGTCAGGACATTTTCGTTAACGCGCTTCTGGCGATGAAAACGTATCGGAAGTACATTATTAGAGGCGAAACGATGTTTTTGGTGTGTTATAAAATCGTCGAATCGATTTCCATTCATTTTTCATAAAAGTGATCAATTTCCACGAAGCTCGTCTGATCGTTTTCATCCGGGATCAGGCGTCTCCCTGGACGACCGGAAAAAAAGCGTTCTCCAACTCGGTTTCCGCGACTCCGCTAAAGCGCAATCGCAATAAATTTACGCCGGTTGCGTAAATATCCCGTGCAGCGTACTCCTCATGATTTTATAAACGCGTTTCACCCGGGTCTCGCGTATATGTGCGTGCCCGTTATGATCTATGCACAGTGTCTACCCGAAAAAAGGAAAGAGAAAGAGAGAGAGAGAGAGAGAGAGAGAGAAAGAGTAAAAAAAAGATGAGGTTGCATGATGAGTGATAAAAATTTCAACCCCGCTAGAGAATTTCGAGCCGTTCCGATGTGCGCGACAGTCTTCTGGCAGGTTAATCTCTCGTGCCTATATCGGGATTAATGCTTTTATCCAGCATTTATTGAGCATTAAAAACTGAAGATTTGCAATTTTTATTCTTGATCGCTGCATTTTGTACACATATTGTACTGGATCGCTGTGACCCGTATCGGCTTTTTCTTTTCTTCATTAAACTTCAAGTTTTCTATAGTAAACCTTCTGTATATTTGATTCTTGCGTTTACGATATGCAAATTTGTAATTCGTATCTCTCGTTATTAATTTTTGCGTATTTACGACGCGAAATTATATACGCGTGTATTATATATCGCGTATAAGATAAAATTGACGAAACAGGTTGATAGATTAAATGTAAACTGGGGGCAATTTTTCGAGCAATCTATTTATGTTTTATGTTTTAATTATGTTTATCTGCACACTCTCGACGGCGACGAAGTAATTAATATCTTTGGACGATTCGGAGCTGCCGACTGTCCTCTCTATTGATAACAAAGATTAACGTTTGCAAGATTCATCTTGCTTAGAACTTCATTCGCATTTCAGTTTATTTATCATGCATAGTATCGAGTCATATCCTGTGCACGTTACGTTATATCATAGTATCATCCATTGAATGTACCAGTTTTTAAGATCTGACTGGTATTCGTTTGCAAATTCAGCTTGTCGAAAGCCATTGCTTCAACGAAGCCTCGAGGTTTCCGATTAAATTTGTTTTTTATTTCCAACTTTCCTTTTCGATATTGCAAGTATCTAGTCGGTCCGGTTATGATATTCTATACAGTTACACGATTGTCGATCAGAAAAGAAT